TGATTTTAGTCCTCAACAGAAGCCTGTGATTTCGCATAATAAAATCTTTAGACACAAAGTCTTCAGAAGAAAATCAGACAACAAAGAGCATGTTATATGTCTTTGGCTGTTTCTTTATGATTTTGATGGTTTTACTTTTGTTAAGGAAAACAGAGTACAGCTATTCCTGTTACCTATTATAGTTTCACATTTGTTGTTATATGTATCGTGCATAGTTTGATGAAAAAATAATTATTCTTAGCTTATATATAGTGGTTAGATACAAATAAGCCAAGAAAAAATAGTCCTGAAGTATTTGTTAGAAAATATACAGGACTTTGCTTCACTTTTAAAAACTTTCCAAAGTTATTTCTAGCGCCACATGGATGCCTTAACCAATAGGGCACTGATTAATCACTGGTGTGACTCACAGCCCAGACTCGGGTGTTGGATGCCTGGAGGAATAGGGTGCTCATCCTCCATCAGCACAGGCAGTGAGGAATGTCTGCCCGATGGCTGTGAGATAGCTCATTGTTAAGCACTGTGGTCAGGGGACCTCACATGCTGTCACTGAACTGCAGAGGCCAGGCACAGCAACAAGACTCAGGTCAGCTGCTGGCCATCAGAGCAGGACATGCAGCACAGTCCAAGAGGATAATAGCTAACATCTCCTCTCCCCCTGAGTCACAGGCTAAGCAGGAGCCACGCCACACTGTCTGCAATGAAAAGGGTGTCTTCAGTCATTGGATGTGCTGTATAAGGTGCTTTCTTGAAGGCCAACAGGGAAGCAGATTCAGTTTTCAAACCCTCACCTTGTCTTTATTGTATCTCATGCACGTCTGTAGTCACTGTCTTGTGTACATACCTTTGTCACTCACGTCAACTGCAGGGTCCGGAGTGTGTATTACATACAGTACTAACAAAAGCTTTCCTTTCCCTCAGCTGATATACTGTATTATCTTTGTTTTGTGATCCAACAGATCATTCACCACAACATGGAGAAACCCCAAAATCTGAACAACAACGGTTAACGGACCAGCAGCAACAAAAATGAAACATTATACGGAGGACTGGTTTAATTTTCTGCATAAAACTGAAAGGCTATAACTACTGTATAAACGAAATGGGACCCTGGGCAAATGGATACGTCATAGGCTGCTGGTTACAAAACTATTCAAAATGCAGAAGAGCATTCTACAACCAAGGAGGCTCCTAAAAATTCAAGTAGCAACGGCCCATCTTGAGCCAAACTGACAGAAACACAACAGCCATTCAAACAGCCAATGACAAGGACCATCAATGAGATCATGAGTCACCACATGGTTTGGAATATCGCCTGCCTGGGCCTTGGGGATAAAACTGTATTGCATAAACATACCTGCAGATCCGACACTCATTGAAATAACTCATTGTTATTTTTTTATCTGTTTTGAACTTGATCAAGTTTGGAATTGGTCATTCCTGAAGGACTGATATTGACTTTTGCACTACAGAATGAAAGACTGTCCTGCAGGGTCAGGTGTATATGAAGGTAAAAAAGAAGAAGAAGATATATTATACATTATATTGTTCGAAACCACATGCGAAAAAGGACAAAAAGCAAATTATTGGAAGTGAAAAATATTTTAATAAAATTGTGTTGTATAATTGCTGTTATTGTCTGCAAAATTGATTTATAACCAGTTCATAGGGAATTATATGAGGGCAGTTAGTTTGAAATAGTTTGAAAGCTGGATAATTCAGATGGACAACACATCAAAACCGAGATCCACTTAATGAAAACAATAAAATTGACAAGCGCATAACTTCTGTCTTCTGAGATAATCCAGTTACTGAATTCCAAATAAAGGGCACATGCTTTCTGTGTTGATT